TGCAAGGATGTCACTCCTCATATTTAACCTCAGGGGCTAAAAGAAAATTCCAGCAGTTCTGATACTTGCAATAAAGAAGCACAGCCAGGCTGTTTTCATCCCTAAACCAGTATTTGCCAACACCTGCCACTGACGGGCAGTTATTGCTCACACACAGAGGGGTGTGAGCTCAGCAAATTACCACACATCACAGTAATAAGTTTAGTTACCGTGTGGAGCTCCTTGGCATTTGGCAAACCCAAGCTGATGTACTCCCATCGGGTTAAGCTCCTGTCATATTGCTTGAATTTGCTCGACACCGAGAGCATACTGACAGGCTGCTACCCCAGCTGGACCAGTGCATGGCAACCCAGTAGCCTGGGGTCATTCCCCTGGTGAGATGGCGTTCCTGGAATAGGAAGGTATTCTGAAATGTGACTTTATGAAAGGAGACCACTAAATAACAGCAATAGTTCCTTTGTTTAGTGGCATGCTGCAGATTGTTTCATGCTCTACTTGACCATTATGATAATTCAGAGCCAATTAATAAATACATTATGAAAATCTGGAACAAAGCTTAATAAATATAAATCTGTCCACTCGTTGTGCCCAGTAGCTGAAAGCCCCAAATGATTTCTCCAGAGTACCCTGAGAGATCAGCAGCCTTTGAAAGTTGGCTGTCCAGAAATTCAGAGAAGGATGATGTTCCTGCCTAATGACAGAACTCAAAATCAAGAGAGCCAGGCTTTATATGGTAAATACACATCCCTTTGTTACCATTCTTGGCTAGCAGACCCAGAGATGAAAGAGATCAGCTGCTGAAGTACCGCAAGATGAAGGATTACCTGGCTGTGAATATTTCAGACGAAGATATATTTAGCTAACAAGCTCATGTGTAAGAAGTCTACTGCTTCAGAGTGTGCAACAAGTGGCTATCAGCTGTTTGAAATAAAGATGTTTCAGAATAAGCACTCCACAGAATATTCCTTGGGCTTGATCTCACACAGATTCCGGTACACAAGTGGATATGTGCTTTGTAGACCTGAGAGTCCCTGGAGGAGCTATGGCACGGTTCAGGATCTCACTCCACAGATTCGTCACGTGAGAGCGAATGACAGGACAGAGAAAGATCTTCAGGTCAAATGTTTTCTAAACCTAGATTGCTGTGTCAGGCTGTAGCTCCACCATGAAGTCTGTGCAGGGTCAAGGTCTAAGTGATCAATTAACCCAGACCAATTAACCGATCCAGATACCCGGAATGGATAAAATCAAATAATACCTAACAACAGGATTATTTTTTTCTAGTAGTTTGGGGAGCCCACAGAAGGTGCCAGGTCACCTAGATCATTTAGTTTCTTTTCCTGAATCACACAGGACAGAGAATTTCATCTTGACTCAAGCATGGCAATATGGTCAGACATCTCACTACTGTACAAAGGAAAGAGCATCAACATGAGATTAACTGGTCTCAAAACTGCCAGACCTTGCACAGCTCTGTTCTCTGCAGATGTTGTTTGAGATGCTGGGATTAGCAGAGACTGAAAGCATAGGCGTGCTGAATAATGAGCCAGTTCATGCAAGTTTACTATCAGTGAATGGAGAAATAGTATTTACAGTCAAAGGGGTTTTTATGGTTGTCATTTCAGAACCTGCAGATGGTGGACAGCTTGTTACAATGACTGTAACGGGAAAGGGAAGGGGGAGCAACAATCAACCAGTGTAGGTACCTAGAGTCCTTAGGTGCCTTTGGCCACCGCGGGGAGAGAGGGTGCCTGCCCACCAGGATGAGCTCCTGCAGGAGCTCATCTCTGCCTTCTGAGTGGGGAGGGCCCCAGAGATGTTACCTTCCTGACTTGGCTGAGGTTTCAGGGGACCACTGGGCCTGTCCAACAGCCATCAGATAACAAACGGTCCCCGCTGTATCCCCTACAGTCCCACCTGCATGGTCTCACCCCCTCCCTTGCTTTGACTCTGAAATTCCCCTGGCTCTGTTGGCATGAACCAATTTTGTCTTTTTGTTGCCATGTCAGGTTTTTGCCAGCTCAGTGTGCCAAAACAGCTCAACATAGGATCAGACAGGAGCCAGAGACGGCACAAAGGAAGAGGTGGAGCGCAAGAACGAGGACTGGACTGCTTAGCCAGCCATTACAGCTTAAGTCAACGTGGAGCTACAGCCCAAATTTAGCACCTCCAGTTAGGCAATGTGAATATCCCACCATGCTGCCTTCCTTGAGATGTAAACCAAGCCATTTTAAGTATGTTTTACTATGCTGCAAGCATAGCAGCGTTTGATTCATAGCCATACAAACTCCCTACCAGACACTAAACAGGACTACATAACGCCCCACAGGGGGAAGAGAAATACCAACTCGAGGCAGCACTGGATCCTAAAGGAAGATGCAACACTGACGATTCAGAGGCAAAAAAGGAATAAAAGCAGCCAAGCAGGCTTTAATCTAATGATGCTGTGAAGCAGTCATGTGCATGGACACTGTCAGCCTCTGCAACGGTACAGTGGAACTATTAGCACACTGTCAGTGTTTCTATCTTTAGAAAACTATTTAATCTCAATATTGACTCCACAGCATGTGACAGCACTGGAGGCCCACAAACCCTAAAATGATTACTCCTCATGTGAAGTAGAGGGAACTGAAAGGCCCTTCCTAACCTTTGGTCAAGAATCCTGAATCAAAACCGCACTTGGCTTGGTCTTGCAAAAGTGTCATAAACATTCCCAGCCAGGTACAAAATCCATTTATTCATCATTAACCTGGCACAGATGTAAAATAAATGAGAAATAATTTATTCGGCTACCCGAGAAAACATCCTTTCTGACAGTGAGTGTACCTCAGCAAGTCTTGATCAATCTAACTGTACCCTGTCACACAGAAACGCTGCTATTAGCTTGCCCAGCCTGTGCACAAATTAACGTGACCTAGCCACCAAGCACACAGCAGCAGTAGCTATAATAAAGCTGAGTACAAGGTCTGCACTCCTGTGGAGTGAAGTGGATGCGACTAACATCTCATAATAACTTCATCTCTGGAGCAAGGCCTGAGAAAGCTACATTAAAAATAGGTTCTTAATCTAAAGTCTAATAAAGCATATTTTTATTCTGTGAGGAATTAAGATTATGTGTAGAAAAGGGTAGGAAAGGTTAACAATTCCTCCACTCATTTCTCGTCATTCTTGTGCTCCACACAAATCACTGAGAGCTTTGAGAGCATAGAGGATCAGGTCTTCAGGTCAACGGCGAGTTGAAACTTCGCTGAAACAGCACTAAAAAGTCAAAGTGTCTGTCCATGTTACAGAGCTTTCTGTTTGCTTTCACTTGTGAGTGCTACATCACACTCCTTCAGTGAAGACTTCTTTTTGTCAAGGAAACTAGAATAGGTTTCTTCTTTTCGGTTAAACCTCTTTTAAAATGTATTCCAATAACCTTTCCAGTTACTAATACATGTGTGTTATAAATAACATAGCTGCACAGAAATAGTCCAGATGCACAGTAACTTCAGCCTATCTTTATGATGTGTCATGGTACAGTGTATACATTTATTCACTGAGATAATGCAATATGGTGCTAACTAACCAACACTTTTGAAAAAAGTTGCTTCTCCAGTGCAAATAAATTTCATTTTCTCCTCTCCACATCTTCTATTTATACACAAACAGGTTTTGCCATTTTATTCATGCTGAGTAGTTCATTGAATTTAATCTGAGCAATGAATGATTTGCATCACCTCTACGTACACACGAAGCACTTGCAATTGTTCTAGGCACAATGCAAGATCCTCTCAATCTCTAAAAGATGTATGAATTTTTCCAAGTCAAACCATATAGCTGCTACACAGCCAAGACCACCTCATTGCACTACACTAGACTGGAATAAATTACAGTCCTTGCTTGAACACAGGTGCATCTTCATCTCTCTGGATGAAATATGACATGGTTCTCCTCAGCCTAGGCTGTTACCATCACCCAAAGGACACGTACATCACTTTGCACAGCTTCCAGCTACAAACACTCAGGGACAGTCTATGTGAGTGATTTATGGTGTAGGAGGAGCTCTTTTGGGTACAAATTTTACTCTGATCTATAACTAGGGTCTTGCAATCATCCATAACACTACTAGAAAAAAACATATCCGTAACACTTGTAACATGGACACAGGTTACAACAGCAGCCAGCTCTCTGCACATGAGCAGCAGGTGCCTGTGGCCAGAAACTGGCACAAATTCCACTGCTGGTGAAGACAAAATGTGGACGTGTGGTGCTGGAACCATAACAGATCACAGTAAATCAAACCCTTGTGCTCGCCTCTTTCAGTCATCAGCTGTTAACACAGATGTACCCATCGACTCAATTCTGATGTCTTTGTTTCTGCTAAAAGCCCTACTGAAATTCAGAGGTCCACTTGTGTATTAGCGGTGTCATTCAATGCCCCTAAGCACTATCTATTTTTTAAAAACCTTATTTTGAAAAAAAATTACTTTATTGCGGATATATGCAACCAGGATTTATGGATGCTTCTGCTTGGGTAGGAGTAGTATTAGATTCTGGTATCATTACCTTGGAAATGGATCAAGATGCTCAATGTGTCTCAGCTAACAGACCAGAACTGTAATGATTGATTCTAATACTTCCAGGATTATTTATGTGATTATAAAACTGATGCAAGGTAAGCTTTCAAATATTACAACAATATAGAAATGCTCTTATAAAGTATCAGTTCAGAAGTTTTTTTGAACCTTATTTTAAAAGGTTCAATTCATTTAAGTAGGATTGCTTTGCAGATATAATCCTCAGTGAGCGGAATATTAAATGCTCTTTAAATCAGTTGATTGGGGATTTAATGCTACAGTAGTAAACAAAATATCCAATAGTATCTGACTGTAAAAGAAGAAGAAGGACACTCTATCTTTGAATTGATCGTTCAATAGACTCTCAAAAAAGCCACTGAAACTCTTCTTTTAACAGAAACTGGTTATTACAAATTTTTTTTTTTGTTGTTTTTTGGTTGGTTTTTTCCCCTGCAGTAAAACATATAAGCAATAACATACAAGCAGCTATAGCTAGGGGAACAACTGCTTGTCAAAGCTCCTGTAAATGTTAATGTGATTCTTTCCATTGGGCTGATATTTCACTTTCTCTTGTCACAGGATGTTGCTCCACAAGTATTCCTGGACCATATGGAAACTTAAAGCACAAGAACTGCATGGGTTTTAAATTAAGTGGCTGTAGGTTGTTTTCTCATATGTCCTGGTATAGGAGAAGACCTTGGGGTTGATTGTAAGAGAAATAATAATGCTTATTATTCCTTACTTCCTTACTAATCTTCTAATAATGCTTAGTGCGGTTTCCTTACCCGTAGTTACATATTGATGGGAGCTATGCTAGGTGAAAAAGAAATAGAAGAAATGATAGGTTTGGTACCAATCATTTTTCTAATGAATGGTCCATCTCATATGTCAGCCGAGATACAGATCTGGGATTGCAGGAACATGTGCAAAGTCATGCCCTACCAGGACTCTGGGGATTGCAGTAGTTTATTGTCCTCATTTGGAGCTGAACTGGACCTTAGACAGGAACACAAGCAAGAAGAGGGGTTTAAAAACAATTATACAGCTCTGGTCCTTCCTGTTCACAAAATTAACATCATTCACATGAGTGATCCCATTAAATCCACAGCATTATCTATTGCCCACGAAATGAAAGCCCATAAACCACTTGACTATGTCTAACCTGAGGGATTTTTTCATCTGTGCACCCTGGGACAAAGAATGACATAGCTCTGAATTAATTACTCCTCTGTAGCTCTTCTCATCACCTTTCTCATGTAGACAAATGCTAGTGTTTACAGGATCAAGTTCTTAACTGAAAATGTTCACTGCCAACTCATGCAGCTACCATACAGAGACTATTGCCTGTATTATGTGAGATTACCAAAACCAGAGCTCTTATGTCAAAATGTTTTAATGATACTTTAAGAAGCAAAATATGATGAATGTCACATATTGCCACCATCCTGAGATTGTGCTTTGCTACAATCAAACCAATAGTCAGGAGTTTCAGAATTTCCCAAATAAACGCTGTTTTGTATTTAAAAAAATGATTACTCAAAATTCAGAAATGTAGCAGTCACTGTGTGAAAAATCCCTTCCTTTCCTCCCCAAGTGTAAAATATTTCTCTATTGTAATAATGCAGTTTAACGCTCACAAAATCACGTCAGACCAAATCCAACACCAAACTGCTGAGATACACACAAATTGACTCCTTAGGATCACCACCCTGGAATTAAAACAATAAAATATGTTATTGATATTTCTTGTATAGTAGGAAATCTGCTTGTTATATTCAAAATAAGCCAATAGCTTAGTCCTCTGTGTATGCATTTCACCTTCTGCATCTGCTTTTTCAGCCTGATTCAGACGGAGTCTATGACATTTACTATGCAGTATCATAGGCTCACAAAATTCTCCTGGGTAAGCTGGACTGCTAGTGCCTGATCTAGCTCAGGCTAGATCTGCTCTTTCTAAAGGAGGACTCTTTCATTTGAATACCCCCAGAACTGCTCACACTTAGCCCACCTGTGCCACCCTCTGCAGGCTTCCTAAGCTAACCAAGGCTGGGTCTAACCAGTATCTTCATGGGACACATCCACTGCTAATCTGAATATGGATATGTTCTAAATCATATTATCTTAATCATATTTTGAAATAGCTAGAGATTGAAATTATTCTGTTTCCTCAACAGGCTAGTTCTGCTGTGGAAAAACAAAACAAAACAAAAGAAAACCCTTCTAGATCTATAAATACTTTTTCATTTGATTTGAAATCTAACATAAATTCTAATTTTTCTATTCTGGCAGGTTTTAACTAAACCAGAAGCAACTTATCTCCACTTGTTTCATTACTGACATTATTCTTAACACTTAAACTTATTTAGTGGCTGAACACATGAGCAAAGTGTGTGCTTAAAAGCTATACTGCATCGGTACTAAAGCAGAAGACCTTTCTTTCAATGTTGTATACATCTAATAATTTCACGCTGGATAATATTTGCCCAAGTCAAGGGTAGGCTGAAATTTGGCTGCCTGACAGGAATCCAGAGGTGTCTTTATTTTCAAAATGTGGTATCGTTTTTCTCAAGGTAATTAAAAGTGAGTTGTGGGGCAGTTCATATTTCTCTAGCTACATTGAGACACCATAACATAAAAGAATTTCAGCAGAATTTAAGCTCATGTTGGTATCCTACTGTTATAAATAGGTTATTTATAACAATTATATTTATAAATAGGTTATTTATAACAGTATGTATCACTTATTTGGATTGCAGCAACTTTCAAGATTAAAAAAAAAGATGACACACTGACAGAGTTTGGAACAAAATTATTCTCTCCGATATTAATTCCTGAGCAAGTAAGCAGGCAGCTGCCTGCTTTACAGGATGCTGCCCTGCTAGCTCCACCTTGAGTGGAGGGCTGCACTGCTGCTCGCTCTGTCAGAAATAGATGGCTTTTAATCATCTGGTTGGAATTAAAAAGCCCAGTCCCAATTTTTACTTTCCAGGTAAGATACACTCACACTCAGGCGAAGGGTCAGCAGTTCTTACTCCCTAACCACCAGCACATCTCTGCTCAAGCTCTCCTCCTTCAGTCCTTTTGCTGAGACGACTGAGCACTACTCTATTCCCCGGGCTCAGGGAGTCTCAGTCTCATTCGTACTTTCTATGCTTTTTTCTGTTGACTGACTCCTCTGAGCAGCTGCTTAATGTTACTGTGCTGTATGTCAAAGGAACACACACTCATCTTCCCTGCTGCCTCTTTCTAGCAAGAAGAAAACCTGATGGATTCTTGGTCAGACAAAATTTGCGTTTTAACCAGGCTTCTGGCAATCAAATTTTTGCCAGTCTGATTAATTTATCATCTGACAATTTTTCTAATGAGATTTTCCTGTCTGTTTTTAAATATGAATCAGGCCATTTCCCCTCCTTGAACTTAGGTTTACTTGAAGCTAATGACATGCCCTTCAGGCTTATCAGGTTAAACCAATGAACAAAAAAGACTTCCTCCAGCTGCAGGGCCATAGCAAAAATGATTCGGTAATTTAATACAAAATAATAAAGATCACTGTTTTAATTACATTTCAAGATTTTGCTGATGTCTCATTTTCCATTTTACCATCTGTGATAGGTATGCATCTACTTTAGCAAAGACATGTACATGTCTGTTGAGCATAATCATAAAGGTGCAGGAGCAGATATTAAGGTAGATGGAGTTTCCCACATTGTTCAGCACCAGCTCTACAGGGCTCTCATACCTGACAATTCCCTCTATCCAATAAGCAAAGTTCACCTCTACAATGGCAAAGATGGTGTTTAGGAGAAATACTGCCAAAATGATTCATTGGGATGCAGTTATGCTCTCCCTATACTGTTCCAGAACCTGCTACCTGCTTGCAATATAGGTGCTTGCAGCAGAGCAGCTTCCTTCACTTCTTATTTACC